CAATCTCTTTTCCCTTGGTTCCGATGTGATATTGAAGGTGGATCTTATTTATGCTCGTTTTTAAAATAGTGTTGAATAAACGTGGTACAGAGTTTGGTTTTCTTGTAAAAACATCTATCCATAGCAATTTTAGACGAGGAGAACATCAACTAGAAGACAAGTTGTTGGGGGAAATCTTATACCAAACGACGTCTTCTTTACCTCGTACTTCAATCCATGGGATTAATACCACCCCAAGTCCACAGAATTGCCAGGGGCCACATTTCAAACATGACAAAGCAATCTCTTAGACTTCAGTTGTGAAGCTTTCTTTTTTGGCTAAGATTTGTTAAGCTTATAAACTAAGTTAACTTGAACAAGTTCATGGATGCCAGAGACAAACAACCAGGACTTTTATCTCTTGATGAGATGAGATGGTTACTTGCAAGACTTATTGGATTGACAATTCTAGTCTTTTGCTACCTACATTCCGGCTAAACGCAATATTCCTACCCCCAGTGACGTGTACTACTCCCCCCCACAGGTAAAGAAAAAGAAAAAAAAAAACGACGCTTGGTTTTACCAGGCACCATTGAAAAACCCGTGCGCCCTTTTCGGTCGGCGAACGAAACAGTCAAAGCAAAAGGCAAAAGGTAAAAGGTACGGTCTTGGTCATCGGCTACCTCTAGCTCGGTTGTGGTTGGTGAATCCGTGAATGAACGGTGACGGTGGTGAGAACAAAGTCTCTTTGCCGATTGCAATAGTAAGGAAGGGAGGCTGATGACTGGGAGCGGGAGTGGTTGGCAGCCAGGAGCATCCCGGTCCCCGTGCAGGAAGGAGGAGGGACCGGAGGAGAATGGCATGCATTTGGCTGCCTGTGTTGGACTGCTTGCTGGAAAGGGGTTCAGGGTTGAGACTTTCAGGCCCTGTTTAGTTCTCTCCCAAACTGCTAAATTTTTCAAGATTTTTCGTCACATCAAATCTTTGGACGCATGCATGAAGTATTAAATATAAATAAAAAATAAAACTAATTACACAGTTTAGACGAAATCCACGAGACGAATCTTTTAAGCATAATTAGACTATGATTGGACACTAATTGCTAAATAACAACGAAAACGCTACAGTGTCATTTTGCCAAAAATTTCGGCAACCAAACTGGCTCTCAGTTGGGATTCTTTGTCTGTTGTCGACACAAACACGACGGCACACGGCTTTGGCTTTTCAGCCATACATTCACTTTGAGTCTTTGAGCATCCTCCAATAGGCAAAAGCGTGTGTCCACTCTGCATTTTTGGAAGCACAGGGGCCTGCTGCTCTCCTCTGCTTGCTTTGCGGCTGCTAGCTGTATCTGCTTCTTATTCTTGCCATGCCAGCCATGGTCGTTAGCTAGTCATCAGCCAATACCTAGTATGTCTCTCTTCGGAATGCATCGTCATATTCCGAGGAAACTTTGGAACGAATCACAGTACCACTACCACAGACCACACCGCCAGAAACGGGACGGAGAATAGGAGGTGGCGCGGGTCGTGCAGGCACGGCTCTGACTTTTTCTCGGCCACCTCACCATCGGGCAGCGGCGGCCGTCCGCGACTCCTTTTCTCGGCAGCGAGCGCGGAAACGCGTCAGAGCGCACGTCGGCTACCGCGCTACGTCCGGTCCGGGTCCGCCGATGGAGAGCGTCAAAGTCAGCGGCAGCGGGCAGCATGCGGGGGATCGGAGTGGGGGAAGCTGGCGCATGGCGCTGCTGGCCGACGCCGTCCACCGGTCCACGCGCGCACTGGTGACCGGAGGGATACCCGAGGCGATCGATCCGACGACGCGAGGCGAGGGGACACCACCATCACACGACACGAACGGCTCTCGCGGACGCGGCGACGGCTGACTGGTTGGTAAAATTTGCAACTCGTTTTACGGCTATAATTTAAGAAAACCTATGTGACGTAATTAAAACGGATTCTAATGACCACAACGGCATTCCTGGCTAGATTTGCCCCCCGTTCATCCGTGGGCCGTGGCGGCCGATAGGTGGACGATAAAACGTGACGCAGGTCGTGTAGCCACGTGATAGCTAGGGGCTGATTGCGGAAATACACATGGAATAGCGGTGTACTGGGGTAGTGTGGTTTAGGTCTATGTTGGCTGTGATAGAATCTTCTGTAGCAGATCAACGGGCCAGCGTTGCAATAAGATGCGAGCTATCTAACGCATGTTCGCTTGATCATTTCTGTGGCTTATAAGTCGGCTGATGCTGTTTTGTTATGAGAGAAAAATATTATATCATGACTGATAAGCATGGCTGATAAGATCAAGCGAACATGGTCAAAAACGTTTGTGCTCACACATCAATCTCTTCCAAATAAAAGTCCAAACCAACCAACTGACGTGAGTGAGCTATCTAAAACATCATCCGTGCTGATAGTGACACGGACCGTTGGTGACCAAACTATTGACACATCGCGCCTTGCATTGCCTGCGCGGCTGATGAGCCAGGATTTATAAGCACGTAAAAGAGTTCGATTCAGAAAGTAGTACAAAATAGTTCATGACACTGGTAAATAAATTAAAGATATCTATTGAAGCGTAAGGTATTCACTATTCAGGAGCAAGCGAAAATCACACAACATTTGTTTGAACAGAATTACGATTTAGTTGGCCGTTGCCAATGGAACTACGTACTAGCATAAACTGAAAATTTGTAAACACCATCATGTGTTTGGCGCTTCTCTGCTCCGACAAGCATAATAGAAAGCTCAACAAGTAATACATGTAAGGAAGCATTAAAGTTTGAGAATGAAGATGGCTCATTCTGAGCTTGTGAAATCATTAGGATAAACTGAGTAAGCTTAACCATTTTACATTCTCCTCGCCTGCTCAATCACACCAAACATCGGGCCAAGTCCAACTATCATCAGACAGGTCTAGGGCTAGTTAGGTATTTGTTGTTTTTTTTTGTGTGTGGGTTGGGGGAAGGGGGCAACAAACAAACTGTCTGACATGCGACATCGAGAGAGACTTGGGCATTTCACCTTGCCTTGTACCCTTGGTCAGTGTTAGCGTTACATACCATTGACGAGTAATCATACAAAATCACACATAGTGGATTAGGAGTAGCGCATTGTACACAAAGAGTTTATACTAGTTCAAGCTAAGAGCCCAAGTCTACTGAAAGAGGAAAGTCTACGTTGCTTGTGCACTGAGCGCTCAGTTCAGTGTCGATTTGGGGATGCGATGCGGGTGTGAGTGGAAGTTGTGTGTGTAGTGTGTTCCAATGCCCTCATGTGAGTGCTCTCACCTTGACTTACATAGTGGGGGGGCAAGGTTACATGCAGACGGTTTGATGGTAGTCAACAATACTATTGCTCTATAGTACACAATCATATCCAAGTAGCTACCGTAGCTATGATTCTTGTGCGTCATCCTCTATATTTTGGCGGACTTTTGGGTCGCAGTCAGATCTGAAGAGACAACAGGGATGGTGCTCGTCATGTAGCACATTGCCGCCCATGCTAGGCTGGTAGCATAGTGCCAATACAATGGAGAGTATGACGAACACTTCACACAGTCATGCACAATTAAAAGTGCAGAGCATGGCCCGCACAATAGCCTGTCCAGGTATAGCTTCAGAGCCTATTCAAATACTTATCCTCCTGCGTAATGGCTTCCCATATTGTAGAAGATAGCATGTCCCACTCAATCGTTCCTGTACACAAAGTCAGTGTGACACACCCCAGATTAGGTATGTTCTAGCCTAATTGGTTTGGCCTACCTGGGTTGTAATCTTGATGAGAATATCCTTGGCCATTTTTAGCTTCCGTCTGCACCGCTCTTGCAATGACCACAGAGGATGTTATTAGAGAATATGGGATATCTCTAGCGATATGATAGATTAGGATCATATAATTTTGTTTTGCCTTTATCTCTAAGGAAGCTAGGTTTCTTGCCCCCTAAACAATGTATTATATTCCAACATAATTGGTTCACTAAACTTAGCAATACAATCAACTATTCCACCAATTCTATTTCTCTTACAATCTCCAAAAGTTCAACCTGGTCCTTTGCTCTTAGCCCCCCACCTCACTGAGTCATCAGCATGAGTCATCATCAGCCTATACACCCCTTCCAAAACATCATTTTCTTGGGGAACTTTGTAATGAATGCATGCATCACATAAACTAGATCGAATATTTATAAATTTATAACTGTCTTGTTCCATTATATTTATGAATACAGCTTTAAGCTTTTGGTCTATACTATTTTTAGCTCAAAGGTAATGTGCTACTAGACTCACGAGCCACTAAACTCTGAAACATGAATAAAATTCATACTACAAGATGCTTATAGTATCTAAACATGGGCAAAAAAAAAAAAAAAGAAAAGAGGAGCGCCCCCAACAGCACCCGTGGCCTTTTCCTTTCCTAGCGGCGAGCGGCGGCGCCATGCGCCTGCGCTGGTCTCTTTGCCGGCGAGGGGCGAGCGCGGCCCCCACCCCCAGGTATCTCTTCCTTACTTCTGTTCGAAAACGAGCACTCAAACCCTAATGCAGGCTGCTTATACTTGGATCTATGGCACAATTACAAGTATATACATGTATTATACCAAAATTTATCGGGTGTACATGTGTACACCCATGTCCTATACGAGTCCGCCCTGATCACGATGCTTTTTGGTTTCGAAATTTCCCTACATGTTTGCATCCCCTTGGGTCCTTGTGGATGACAAGTATTATCCCCTAAAGGGACTATTTGGACTGAGTTCACTCTATCACTGTAATGATCAAGATTAATGAATATTAGAGAATGCTTTACAGTTTACACATGATCCAGTGGAGGAAAGGGATAAGTCTGATGGTTTGGCTTCATCAAAATTGATTTTGGGCCGCTGCAGCTTATGTTAGCTCGAGGCCCATCAACCTTGTAAAAAACCCTGCATTAATGGACCTTATTAGAGGGTCTGATGGTTTTGTGGCATTGCTTTACTGGTATTAACCCACAGTTTTCTTTAGAAAACAGTATTGGACGATGTTGATTAGAGCGGGTGGTGGTCATCGCATAAGAAGGTCAAAGAAGAATAAAAGAACTTGCAATGATGACAGAGAGACAGCAGAGTCATTGAATCCAGGTCTGCTTCTTCCTCGTTTTTGCACATGTTTTTTTACATCTTTATTTATGTGAGCATTCACAGTTGTGCTGTTTCATGTTTCTTTAACTAGGCGATATTCATCAGGACTCAATACAAGATGTCTGGAGTGAGCTCAGTGAAGAAGTTGCATCAAATTTGTCTGAAAGTGTCGTCTCAGTTGCTGTACTCTGTGGTGATTATTTATGCTGCTCTTAGTTTTCTGAATATATATCTACATTGCTGTATACATGATTCAAATCGCAATGTTGTGTAGGAAGCTCTGTGTTATTTGCATGCTCGGGAATAGCTATAGAATGCCAGGGGTGTGTTACAAGGTTTCTGACTTCAGCGAGTTTGGTTAGAGCTTTAAATGATAAAACAAAACACCCTTCTAACTTGAAGGTTTGCGCTGCAATTCATCCTTTTAGTAAAAAATGATTGTTTAGTTAATATAATCTCGATCAATTTTTTGTTTTTTATTTATCAATATAGGTTGAAGTGCGCTATGAAGGCAATGTTGTCACAGGATTTTTGGGGAAATATGATTTAGATTATGGCCTTGCTATTGTCAATGTCACATCCTGCCTTGATGTTCAAGCTGTACGTCTCACATGTGGTGGAGATGGAATTTCTTCCATGTACAAAGGTAGTAGCTTTAGGGCGTGGCATCTCTGGCAAATTAATGGCTACTGGTGGGATACTGACCCGCGATTCAAGAGAATCTGAAGATAGTGAAGAGCTTATGCTGTCCACTTGTAAAATCTGTGAGGTACACTTGCATTATGATATAATTTAATTCTAATGTGTTTCTCCTATATGCAGTCTCTGAGGCACACTCGAATTATGATAGGGTTATTTTAATGTGTTTCTGTTCCTATATGCAGTAAAGTGTATCTCAGGGGCAAGGCAATAGGAATGTGCTTCCTTTTTCTTTCCCTACATAACTCTTGTTCCATACAACTCCATTGTTTTGCTCCTGTAACCTTTTTTGTGTGAGATTCAAAACAAAAAAAAAACTTTTTGTGTGCCAGGGTTGGGAAGGTGGCCCACTTTTCAATACAGAAGGGAACCTTGTTGGCATGAACCTTTTTTTTGTTAAAGAAAGAACTGTGTTCCTGCCAACAACTATAATCTTTGAACGGTTGGAGCATTTTCGAATATTTCTGAGGAGTGAATTTCTCAAATGGTTGCAGAACTTGAAGGCGTGCAGGTATGCCTTTTATAACTCAACTTCATTTTGTATGTTTGACCATTGTTGGTTCACCCTCTCTTTCATATCCCAATTTAGCCCCCCCCTCGTCGTGACATAAAAGGTGAGCTGTTTTGTATTCCAAAACAACTTGTGTGTCCGTGTGTTTGGTGGTGGTTTGGGCGGTGGGAGGCGGCTGATGTTCCCTTTTTTGAAAACAGTTACTTGATGTTACTTTCGTAGTTTTTTTTTGGCATCAAGTTTTGAGAGGGAACACTCTTTACTTGGTGACATACATTATAAATGCAGCAACTTGTCAGGTTCCTAAATACAGTTTTGTGCAACAAAACTAAAATAGATCAGGCGAAACCATAAGCCAGGGCCATAGTAGAGCAATGAAATGAGCTTATTGGGCCACCATTTTTTAGCCCCTGCTCGGTTGGCCCTACTTTTTTTTTTGAGGTGAACGACAGGGGGGTTTAAAATCAACCCCACCTGATATATTGATACCACAAATGCCGGACTGAACCGGTGGGTGGTGGGGCTTGGCACCCAGTTACAAAGTTACAAGAATTACATGTAGAATGAAAGTGCTACATAGGCAAGTTTTTACACCAGATAGTAGATAGATGAGGTTTGTTCCGGGGGAGGCAGCATCTCCACAGCTTTGCTGACTCTCGGCAGGCAGCAACAAGACGACCGTGGTCTGGGGCCATTTCTCTGAAAACTACATCATGGCGGTGCTTCCATAGCTCCCAACAGATGAGAAGTAGAAGGGTAGCGTGAGCTGACCGTGGCATGTTGACTGGTGCAGTAGATTCCCATATTTGCTGGACATCTGCAACATCCTCAATTCTCCATCCAATTCTCCTCCAAAACTCTATGGCAAAGGGACAGCCCCTGATTATGTGGTCAGCTGTTTCGGAGCTCTGATGGCATATATCGCAGTTGTCTTCTTGAAGCACTCTCTTCTGCATCAAATTAGCTTTGCAATTGATCCTATTCTTAGTGAGGAGCCATCCAAAGAACTTAACCCGAGGGGGGGCAAAGTTATGCCAGATGAACTGGTACAATGGGCACGCACTGTCTCCCCTCAAAAGACGCCCTGCATATCATTCCTGCAAGCTGTCGACACCGAAATTTGGTTTGGAATGGGAAGTCCCCAAGGACAGGAATTATCAAGGAAAGCCGAAAATTTCAACAGGATCGGCTAATCAAGTTGCCGTCGGGATGACGTCATCATAGCAGGGGAATAGGCCCCATTGGCAAGAACGACAAAGCATGGAGCGAAAAGACACGTCGGACTTCATAGAAGGGAAAGATTGGAGTCCAAGTTATCTTAAATTTGGAAGTTTTGATTTTCTTTTCCAAGTTTGTAACCGGTCTTATTCGACCAGGACTTGTAGTCAAGCCTCAGGTATAAATATTGAACCCCGGCTATTGTAATAGACATCTCTCATCGATCAACCAAAACAAGTACCTTTACTTTTCAGCTCAGGCCACCCCTTAGGAGTAGGAGTAGGAGTAGGAGTAGAGTAGATTTCGACGAGTTCTTTGGGCAAGCAGGGCTACATCGGACGACCTGACCTCCGACTTGTTTATGAGTATCCGTCACAACTTATATTGTTACTTGCAAGGCTGCAACAGACGACTGATCTCTTGCGAGTCGCGGTACAAGTTAATTATCGATCTATATTGTTGTTTGTAAGGCTGCAACAGACGATTGTTCTCTTACAAATCGTGGTATAGATTAGTTATCGATTCGTATCAACTTTTACAAGGCTGCAACAGACGACTGATCTCTTGTAAACGTTGGTATCAATCAAAGTTATCGATATTGTGTTAAATAGTTTACTGTTTAATACAATATCATCGATTGCCCGATTTACATTGAGATTCATTGGTCTTATCTTTTTGATCTATCATCTGTTGATTACTATCACTGTTGAATTCAATTCTTGACGTTAGATCCTGTTTTGATGACCAATCTATCTCAATCTTGATTGTACATGGCGGGTGTTTGAAGCCATGTTCTATTAAGAGATAGATTCATTAATTGTAAGTACCCGGTATGATTCCGCTATCAATGCTGCATCAGCTGACTCAATCTGTTGATAGCGTGTTAGATTGGACACTGTCGATTAATAGATCTATCTATTAAGAAGAGCATGGCGTCAGCCACCCGTTATGCCCCCATCGGCTATTTAGCCGATGACTTGAGCTTCCACGTGTATGACATGCTTTCACGATCCCTTTGCGATATAAGTAGATCTATCGATCGCTGGTCTCTGATCTAGGGTTCTACTGTCAATGCTGCATCAGGCGACTCAACCTATTGACGGTACAATAGATTAGGTCTAGTTGTTTGTAAATTTATTTGTATCCAACGGATGAGTGATCATATGCCGTGCGACACGATCACTGTAATCGGCTATTTTAGCCGATAGCCTGCTTTGTTGAGGATGTACTGGCTATTTATATGCTTTTACTTGTTTTTGTCCTGGTTAAAAGCTAGTAAGTCTCTCACATCACATGTATGCTTACGCGTCTACCCTTACATCTTTCGCATGTTTTCATGATCATCGGCTAAGTTAGATCTATGCAACTGAGTAAATAATAATTGCCGATATGTTTGTTTTATTTATATTACATCATGAACATGCTGGATATCGACTCTCTAGTCAATAGCCGTATCGTGCTGGCCACTTGGCTGTATATTTGGAATTGTCTCGACAAACACAGGCATGTTTCACCTTAAATTACTGATCAATTTTCTCTCCTTGTCAATTGCAGGGTCAAATTGACTGGCACGCTCTCGGTCACGGCCATCCGGTCCGGCGCCCTTCCTAAGCCCGGAGAGAGCTTGGGATCTGCTCCACGCGGTTTCTCTCGGCCTGCTGCTGTGTGCCGCTGGCTCCCTGCTGCTGCTTTTTGCTGTCGACACAGATTGGCACGCCCAGTGGGACCACAATCGTCCACATGAACAACGAAGCGATCCTCAAGGTCAACCTTGAAGACCTGCTTGATGACCAGAATGCACTCATTGATCAAGTGGCAGAGGAATTCAGAGAAAAGTGCCTGTTGTCTTACAGTAGGACGCGCGATTCAGTCGTTCAGAAGACTCCCCTACCAAGCGTCCTCTTACATGGTCAAAGTGAAGATGTTGAAGCAAGGACTACTACTCATTTGGTCCACAAGACTGTTCATACAGCCTTTATAAACCACAATAAGGTGTTGGCCAACACGATTGACAATGTTTTGAAAGAAATCTTCTTTGGAGCGCCAGTTGATCAAGTTGGACCAGCATACTCCAATGGCTTTGATCCTTCGGCTGTGGGAAACAACGTACCTGATTCTAGTCAGCAGTCGAATGGTGGGCAGTTCTAACAGCCACTAATACATCAGCTTCCAGGAGGGCAGGCTCAAGATCAGACCCTACAAACAGCAGGGAGGCAAGGTCGAGCTCTGCCAGCCGTAGGTGGGCAAGCTTAGATGACAGGGGGCAACCACTAGCACAACAATCACCAAGTGCCTTTGTCATGCAGACGAATCAGCAACCTACTAAACAAAATCAAGTTTATTCAGTCCAGCAGCCAACCTCTCCAGCTACTCAGCAGGTTGTGCAACGGCCGGCTTAGGGAAGATTTAGTACTTCCTATCAAACGCCTCAGTCGGTCCATAAAATTGCTCCATCAGTGCACACGATCATAAAAAATGTTGATCCTAATTACTTCAATAGTCGATTGTAAGGAATGTGACTCATAATGCTTAGATTGACTATGCAGAGGGATATCACCTGGTTTCTGATGTCAGCACATATGAGCTCATGCCACATTCTGGGTATCAGAATCCTTACAGTTATAATGCTCAGCAACTTCAATAGCTTCAGGCCCAAGGGTAGATGTCTCCGGCTCAGAATCAACAAGTTCAAGGATCTCAAGCTCAGGCTCAAGGGCAGCCGAGACAGGAAGTTGCTGGCATGGATGCTAATGAGTTTGTTCATCGGATAACTGCCATGATGCAAAGCCAGTTTGGTCTAAAACCTAAAGGACAGGTTGGCTTTTACCAGCGCCCATATCCAACTTGGTATGATATTGTGCAACTCCTACCATGCTACAGATGTCTCAAATTTCTCCAAATTCACCGGGGTAGATGAGATGACGTCCATGGAGCATATCAGCCGCTATCTCGTTCAACTTGGAGGGGCATCTGTTAAGGAGGCTGAAAGGTCCTAATGGCTAGAGGGGGGGTGAATAGCCTATTAAAATTTTCTACAACAACACTTAGCAAACCGGATAGACAAATATGAGGCGAAGCGAGTGTTGCGCTAGCCTACTAAAAATACAAGCCACCTACCACAATTCTAGTTTCTATAGTCTATATCCACACGATGGCTATGTCACTACACTAAGTTAGTGTGCTCTCAAAGGCTAACTAAAGAGCCACATTAACCAAACTAACAAGTTCTCACGACAAGCTACACTAAAGAGTTTGACAACTAGTTTGCGGTAATATAAAGAGAGAGAGCAAGATTGTTATACCACTGAGTCGAGGAATGAACCAATCAATCACAAGAATGAATACCAATCACATCGGAATCAAATGATGACACAATGATTTTTTACCGTGGTTCACTTGCTTGCCGACAAGCTAGTCCTCGTTGTGCCAATTC